TGGAGAGGACTAGGAAGGTACCTTTGAGGAGTGACAATCTAGTTTGCTAGACAGAAAACATATCTATATATATAAAAGGCTAATTGTCCATTCAACTGACTAGTAGCTATGATGCGCACTGCCTCCTGGTGAGGAGGCAGACACTCAATGCAGGAGCTGCCATGATGCACACTCCCATTTAATAATAAACGGCACCATGAAACTGGCACCAACAAACCAACACTCAGCTCCCCCCAAGTGGGACACAGGCCCCGCCACCAACACCCCACCAAATTTCAGCCATCACTGCTAAGACCCTATGGCGTAAAATGTGGCCCACAGCCCAGCCCAGCCCTGAAACGGTCACTGTGGGCACCAGGTAATGACATCACGTAGCAACACCGGCTTCCTCTCCCTAGCAACTAGCCTCCTTGGAGTTTCTTCAGCCCAGGAACATGACTTACTTTATAGCCAGGTGCAAACATTTTACACTTTAACCAAATGTCTGTAAAGCGTTTTCCCGTGCCTCATCTCATTTGATCCTCACAGAAATCCTGGAGTAGGTAGATAGGAGACTCGGTCGAATCCTAATTTCTTTTCATTAGCCAGAAAATGGAGATTTAGAAAGTTTAGAAGCTTGACCTGACTTAAAAGAAGTAAGAAATGGTGGAACTTGAAAATGACTTCAGGTTTTTCACTGCGCAGAATACAGTCAAACACTGCTGCAGTTAAATATTTTACCCATTGATCTCCCTGCATGATCTACAATAATAATCTGCTTCGTATTGATATTTACTGCTGTGTTGCTGACAATTACTTGAAAGAGAAGTTGGGTGCTTCACTGGGCTGGAAAAAGTTTAGCTAAATCAGAAAGCAGTTCTACTTAAACAAATTTATTCTATATGTATAAAAAGCTAAGTTGACTTGCATGATACATATAAAGCTCTCACTGGTGCCAATCGCACGTGTGTGTTTCGATCTGTCATTGTCGATCATGAATTTGGTTGATACTTCTATGATAGAGAAAGGGCGAATAGTGATATTTAAATATTTCTTCTAATTAATTTCCTTTCAACGTGCACAAAACTGTGCACCAGGACACTAGTGTTGAAAATAAAAGCCAACCACATTACATATTCCTTACCAAGAGCTTCTAAATAGTAAAAACTACAGAATAATTAAGGACTAACCAGATTGGATGGTACAACATGTTAATCTAGGCAGACAGCTGACTTTGTAAATAATGACATGAGAGTGGAACACTAGGGACAAATTAAAGATTCTTCTAAACTAAAATTTTATTGGACAATGTATGAATTTTCTCAGGGTTAGAATGCCCAAAGAACTAACTGGATACAAAGCATCCTGTAAGAAGCACAGTTTTGTAACTTATGTCCAAATAGTCTACTTTTGACCCTAAGTGTTTAGTTTCAAGATAAGTCAAGGGAGTGGTTGATATAGTTGGAAGTTTCCCACTACCCTTTCTGTTCACATAGACTCAATCATGATAATAGCAGTAATTCTCCATATGTCTATGCCTTTTAAAATTTTTAGAGTACTTTCACCAATTATTTCTGCACTAGAGGTCTGGTGCATGAAAGTTGTGCACTTGGGGGGGTCCCTCAGTCCCTCAGCCTAGCCTGGGCCCTTTCACAGTCCGGGAGCTCTGAGGGGATGTCCGACTGACAGTTTAGGCTCACTAAGCCATCAGTCGGACATCCTTAGCATTGCCACGGAGGTGGGAGAGGCTCCCACTACTGCCGCTGTGCTGGCCAGCCATGAGCCCAGCTTCTGGCTCAGTGGTGCTCCCTTGTGGGAGCACACTGACCACCAGGGGGCAGCTGCTGCTTTGAGTGTCTGTGCCCTGGTGGTCAGTGTACATCAAAGTGATGTGCACACAGCATTTGGTCATTTGCATATTAGCCTTTTATTATATAGGATACGCTATAGATGAGGCCCCCTAGAACCATAAGAAATGCAAAAAATTCACTGTTAACTCATTCTCAAATTGCCCCCCTTAAAATCAAATTGCCTCCCTGTGGGGCATGTGCTGCACCTTGGGAACCACTGGGCTTGACACTTTTCTTGTCTGAGCTTCATTTCTGAATACATACACATATGCCATGGGAATTGTAATCTCTTCTCTGCCTACCTCACTGGGTTGTCCTGAGGAGGTTCTGAGCTAATAAACTTAGAAATGTTTCAAGTAAGTGATGTCTAAATGGGACGGGATTGTTATTTTTAAGCCCACGGGTACCCTTGCAGGTAGCAGGTGCTGATTAGGTGAGGAGGGCATGATTGTTTCCTGGGACTGTAGCTATCAAAGCTTTGCAGAGGGTTCCGCAGGCCTTGGAGGAGTGGTCTCTGGCCAGCAGTCCTGTAGCAGTGGTCATCCTTGGAGGCACTGGCCAGGGGGCCAATAGGGAGGTGCTAGGGGGATGGCGAGGCTGAAGGGGGAGTAACTGTCAAACCTCCCTTCTTGGCACCATTCTTTAAATTGTACATGGCCGCTTTGCAGCTGTATGTGCTCAGGGCGGGGCTCCAATCTCCTGGAGTGGGGCAGGGGCTGGGGAGGTGGAGGGGCAATCAGGGCTGGGCCAGGGCGAGGCCAGGCAGGCTAGGAGGGCAGGTTTAGCCGTGGCCCCAGCAAGTTTCAGTGTGCTTCTGCTGAGAACATGGCTTCACTGCTTTTGGGGGGGATGGGTCTGACCCTGGGGGACCACTCAGGCCTGCCTCCACACGGATCTGGAGTTGTAAGGAGGAGAGGCGTGCCCAGTCCCAGCAGAGGGGGGCTGGCAGCAGTGGGTTGCGGGCCCCGGGTGCCTCTGGGGCACTGACAGATCATCGCCAGTGTGCTACTGTTGTGGGCACCCCTGGCAGGGGTGGCGTGGGAAGACATCAGGAGTTGGAGGTGTGGGCTGTGGCTACCCCCAAGGCTTGGTCTTATCCCTGTCCAGTCAGCCTCCCCATCCCCTTGGGGATGTGGGTGCTGGGGTAGGGTGTCTGTGCAGGGAGATTGGAAGAGCTCCCTGTGGTTGCTTTCTCTTCCTTCTTTGCAGTCCGGTCTCCTGTCAGGCACTGTCCTCAAACCCCCAGAAAATTGGCTCCGGCCATCCTGCCCCTCCGTGACTCCCTGCTGCCCCTGGCCCACTCGGCTCTCCCTGGCCACCCACCTGTCAGGAGGCTGCCAGGGTGCCCTGCTGCGGGCAGTGTGGTCCTGGGGCAGGGGTGTGGAGAGCAGCTCCAGTAAAGTTTAGTAAACCCCAGGTATGTGTCGGGATTCAGCTGTGGGGCCATGGGGGAGTCTGCCTGGGTGGGACAAAATCATGTGAGACCCAGAGTCCTGCCCTGTAACCTCGCAGCCCCACCCCCCACTGCTGAACGCTTATTACGTGATGGCGTCCCGGACAATTTGCATATTCCTCTATTATTAGTATAGATTTTCACTGCAGTTCTCTAAGATTAAAACATTTCCCCATTTTTTTGCCCTGGCCGGTGTTGCTCAGTGGTCGAGTGTCAGCACTGGGACCAAAGTGTCACAGGTTTGATTCCTGGTCAAGGGCACATACCTAGGTTGCAGGTTCAATCTGCAGGCCCAGTCAGGGCACATGTGGGGGACAATCCATTGATGAATCTCTCTCACATTGATGCTTCTCTCTATCTCTCTCACCCCTCCTTCCTCCCTCACTTCCATGCTCTCTAAAAATAGGGTGGGGGGGAGGTGGAACTCAAATCAATAACCAAAGTGGATACCTTATAAATGAGAAGAAGAAGAGCAAACTGAACCCAAAGCTAGAAGTAAATAATAATAATTACAGAGGAGATAAATGAAACAGAACATAGAAAAACAATAGAGAAAACTCAATGAAACTATAAGTTTGTTCTTTGAAAAAATCAACAAAATTGATAAAACTTTAGCTAAATGAAGGAAGAGAGGAGACTCATATTACTAAACAACAACAACAATTAGGGCAGTTAGGGCAAAACATTTCCCTCATTTTCGATGTTCAGAAACTGAGACCCCAAGAAGGGAAATGAGTTGTCCAAAGTTTAGATTCAGTTTTCAAAATATCCCTTTCTTCAAGTTCCAATTGCATGTTTGGAACTTTGGGTGATGGATAGATCTTCCATGTGCTAAACAAGAAACTAGCTTTATTAACTTTATACACTGTCTATCATACCAGGGAGAGTTGTACTAACCACTGCCAGGTAGATTAGTGGGTTAGAGCATCATCTTTTTTTTTTTTTTTAAATATATTTTATTGATTTTTTTACAGAGAGGAAGGAAGAGAGACAGAGTTAGAAACATCGATGAGAGAGAAACATCCATCAGCTGCCTCCTGCACACCCCCTACTGGGGATGTGCCCACAACCAAGGTACATGCCCTTGACGGGAATCGAACCTGGGACCCTTCAGTCCTCAGGCCGACGCTCTATCCACTGAGCCAAACCGGTCAGGGCGAGCATCATCTTGATATACCAAAGTTGTGGGTTTTATCTTCAGTCAGGGCACTTATAAGAATCAACCAATGAATGCATAAATAATGGAACAAAAATGTCTCTCACACTCTCTGTCTTCCCCCTTCCTCTCTTTCTCTAAAATGAATAAATTAATACAAACATTTTTAAAGAATTAATTGCTCTAAAATTTAACAGTCTGATACTTTTGGAGTCTTTTATCACATAGGTAGATTGAAAAGCAACATCGATCACTTCACATAGTCATGTTTGTAACAGACAAATACCTAAATATACCAGTCATCCCTCATCTTTAAGACAATAAAAAGACAAGCTATTGGCTGGGAAAAATATTTATAATACGTATATCTAATAAAGATTATTATTCAGAATATATAAACTACATATACAACTGAATAATAAAAAGGTAAACAACTCAATTAAAAAACCACACAATAATTTGTACACTCTTCACAAAGAAGATAAATGAGTGGAAACTACATATACAACTGAATAATAAAAAGGTAAACAATTAAAACTATGAAAGACACTACTATACTATAGTACTTGCTTCAGCAGCACATATACTGAACTTGGAATGATACAGAGAAGATTAGCATGGCTCCTGCTCAAGGATAACACACAAATTCATGAAGCATTCAGTATTTTGTGCAGTGCCTTGGGAGGCATTCTCACACCCTTTGATTAGCTCGGAAGAAATATGAGTCAAAGCACAATGTGTGGCATTCAATAGCAAAATCATAACTTTTCACAATTAAAAATAAAGACACCATTACATTCACACTAGAATAGCTAAAATTAACTAGTGATGACAGAAAGTATTGGTGAGAATATGAAACAACTTGGAATTTTCATGATTCCTGGTAAGACTGCAAAATGGTACATCCACTTTGGAAAACAATTTGGCAGTATCTTATAAAGTTAAATATACCTACCATATGACCCAGTCATTCCACTCCTAGGCATAACCAAAAAAAATAAAAACACATCTAGACAAAAACTTGTGTGTGAATATTCATAGCAGTATTATTCACAACTAGAGGCCTGGTGCATGAAATTCGTGCAGGGGGGGATCCCTCAGCCTGGCCTGCACCCTCTCCAATCTGGGACCCCTTGGGGGATGTCTGACTGCTGGTTTAGGCCTGATTCCACAGTCAGACATCCCTCTCACAATCCAGGACCACTGGCTCCTAACCACTTGCCTGCCTGCCTGATTGCCTCTAACCACTCTGCCTACCTGCCTGATGCCCCTAACTGTTCCCCTGCCTGCCTGATTGCCCCTAACCACCTCTGCCTGCTGGCCTGATCGCCCCTAACTGCCCTCTCCTGACAGCCTGATTGCCCCTAACTGTGTCTGCCTCAGCCCCCGCCACTGTGGCTTTGTCTGGAAGGACATCTGGATGGATGTCCAGTCTAATTAGCACATTATCCTTTTATTAGTATAAGTAGCCAACGTCTAGAAACATCCCAAATGTTTTTCAACTGGAGAATGAATAAACAAACTGTGGTCCATCCACACAATGTAGTGCTACTCAACAATAAAAAAGAAATGAACTATCAATTCACATACAACATGGATAAATCTCAAAGGCATTATAGTGAACAAATAAAATCAGACACACAGCCCATACTGTTTGATTTTATTTACATGACATTTTGGAAAAGTTCAATATAATCTATGGTGACACAAAGCAGATTGGTGGAATTCTAGAGTCTTGAACACTGTGGGGAGGAATATTCAATTTCAAAAGGGCAGGGTAAAACTTTTAGGGGTTATGGAAATATTTTATATTTTGATTACAGTAATGGTTGCATGTGTTTGTCATAAGTCAAACTGCACCTTTGTAATGGGTACATTTTATTATATATAAATTATAGTTCAATAAACTTAACATAAAAATTAGCATAAGAAAATATTAACTTAAAAATAAGAAAGAATGTATGATTTGAACCATAGTATGAGGTATGTTTTACCAGCAGCCAACAATAGGTCTCAAAATTCTTATTTGTGGAAATAAATGAACAAGTAGACTATGTAATAGAGACTGAATCTGTGACACAGCAGCAGACAAAATCTTTCTTTTATACTGCCACCTCTAAGTCATGTTCCCAAATTGCCCTAACAAGTTACACTAATGAAAATCAGCATGAGGTTGGTGTTCAGCAATCCTTGACCTACTCCAGATTCCTGGCCTGACACACGGTACACATTCATCAAATGGTCCAAACTTCTTCATTTGCCAATGAACTTGAGATGGCAAGCCCCCTCCCTGCTGGCACCACCATAACCACACCTCAGCTTCTGTAATCTCACTTGCTTCTTATGCTTCTGCTCCAACAGGGCCCGCTGCTGGTCAAGCTTCTGCTGTCTCAGGTTGCTGCCCTCATCACCTAAGACACTGTAGGGAATCAAGTCAGAATGCTGCTTGGAATTCATATCTGTTGTGGGTCGGGCGGCGGTGGTGGCAGCTCCAGAGGCCTGGGCCCCAGAGGGTTGGGGCGGGGGCCTTGCTCAGCTCCCAGGTCGCATCCTCCTGGGCTGGGACTGCTGGGCTCCACCAAGGCCTGCACCACACTCTAGGGCCCAGGCCACAGGCTCTGAGTGGCAGGTGCAATGAGGTGGGAGGATAGCCGAGAGCACAGGCAACTGTGGGAGGGTGGCCAGCACGTGAGCGTAGAAGTGGGAGAGGTGGGCCACCTGTCTTGCGCCTCCAGAGGGGTTCAGACGGCGTGGAGGGTCCGAGCTCTGCTTGGTTGCAGTGCTCACCCATCCTCCCCAAACTGCAACAGATACCTGGAAGCTTAGCATGTAACATAGAAAGAATGTGTATGTATGCCATATATGGGAGACAAAGAACCTAGGGATGCATATAAGGCAAAAACCCTGCTGCATACAGCACTCAGCCTCTTGAGGGGACTCTGCTGAGCCAGCACTGGTGCAAATAAATAGTCCTTTTCTGAACCTCTGAGTGCATTTGGTGTGTTGCTTCCCACCGACCTATTTTTGCCATTACAAACTGAAAAGGAATTTCTGAAGAATCATGAGATAAGCTGTGTATCCTTTGGGATACTAGAAAATAAAGTATTAGGTAATTGACCAATATCTTATTTGGCTCAAGAAGTGTTGCAAATATATGTGTAATAACCCAATTAATAAACTGCAATAGGAAAAACAAAACAACTGAAATAGCTATATATTTCAAAGTTTTTGAACTTTGGTTTGTTTCCCACTTTCACTAATTCCTATTTTGACTCCACATTCAGGACAATTTTTCAGTAAAATAGACTATAAATACTACTTGCTAAATGTTCCAAGAGTCTTCTCACTGCATTTTCTTTCTTTTTTTTTTTAAAGAATTTAAAAAATATATTTTTATTAATTTCATAGAGGAAGGGAGAGGGAGAGAGAAATAGAAGCATCAATGGTGAGAATCACTGGTCGGCTGCCTCCTGCACGCCCCCCACTGGGGATCGAGCCCACAACCCAGGCATTTGCCCTGACCAGGAATTGAACTATGGCCTCCTGGTCCATAGGTCATTTCTCAACCACTGAGCCACACTGACTGGGATTACTGCATTTTCTTTCACAGTGCAGCAATAGCACAAATTGGAGGTTGCTTCCTATACAGTAAACAAAGATTATTTTCATGAAATTAGTTAGAGTGGTAGTAAACTTTGACCTTTGCTAGTTTGGGGTAGAAACCTAGAGCTATGGAAATTTTTTTCTTTTGTTCCTTAGAGAGTAATGGAGAGGTCACAGTTGAATATGTCCTTAGGCTACACTTAAAGGGAATTCAATTCTAACTGCTAGAAAGAGCCTCCTAAGCCTCCTAATCAGCACTTCTGCCCATCCCTCCACCATCCTTTGATTCAGTAAGCACTGATTTATATGAGTGCCCCATCTCCTTCTCATTTGCTTGGTTGTTAGGAATTTCACTGTCAGAGCCAAGCTTCAAAACCTTAGAGCTAAACCTAGGCAAGTCTTTCTGCACACAGAGGATAAGATTTTCTCAAAAAGGAGAAACACAAGAAAACACATAACAACCGCTACCACCAATATCCCAGTGACCCCCTGAAGTTCTGAAACACTCAATCCACATTCTAGACTTAAAAATCCAGAATCTCACACTTTTGTATGCTGTATAGCCAACATTTGTGATTTTATATGGAATATTATAACTTTTGTGTGTGTATTAGAATAATATATCTATATAAAAGCCTAAGCAATCATAGCAACCAAACAGATGACCGAACAGGTTGCATGGGGCGACCCGGCTGGCAGGGGTATTGGTGAGGTGTGACCAAATGACTGAGCAGCAGGCTGTGTGGGGCAACCAGGCCGGCAGGGGGGTTAGTGAGGAGCGACCAAATGCCACGAACAGCAGGCTGCGTGGAGCGACCAGGCCAGTGGGGGGGGGGGTGGCAGTTCTGCACAACCAGGCCAGTGGGGGGGCAGTTGGGGGTGATCAGGCCAGCATGCAGAGGCA